TCTGTGGAGGAAATTCAGGGAACCCCTGAGTGAATCACTCAGGGTGATTTGCTAGTGCGTTTTCAGAGACTAGAACTTCCAAACTGGGTTTATTCTCAACACGAACCTTTCTCCGCTATCTTGGAACTTACTATGTATCACAATACTCTGTATTAAACTAATATAACCTGTTACAAAAATTCGAAGTGACGAGCGGCGAATATACTAAGCGCCATTTCTGTTGACCTGTGACGTACTTCGGTTTGAAGATCGGATTCACCGACCAATCGGAGGCCGCTGCGTTTGCCGATCGCTATGCGCATTGGGAATGCGTACGTCACACCCGCTCGGTCGCTTCGCTCACTCGCCATCTCACTCTCAACTATCACCCAATGTTGGCAGCCCTGGGTTAGGGAGTAGGTGTAGGCGACTCCCTAAACTAGTTATATTACTATTAACTATTATGCACATGCGCGTTGCATGTCGTAAGAATAGTCCATAAATAATTCTTACGCACTGGTTCGTGGTCGTAAGAATAGCACGGCCTAATTTATACGTAACTCGTAAGCGGTGTCGGCGATTTATGCTGGCCTTCATACTAATGTCTACTTGGATCTTGGGCAATGTGTTTACTGGGATCGCTAACCTTTTTCTGGTGGGGATCATCAGAGTGTCTGACTGGTTTTATCTTAACCTCCTGTTTTGGAATTTTAGCTGACTTTTGTTGTAATTTCTCAGCAGCATGTAAACGCTTGCGTTTCGCCATCTTGGAATGAAGTAGGGCACCAAACTATTTCAATCATCGCCACACGCCACAAGTCAAGTTGCTGATTTATTGTAATGACATTATTTATTGACAACTCAATATAATAAATATTCATTCTCATGTAATAACATGTTATGAATATTCGGATAATTGCTGGAACAACTGTTTATACGTGTTAAAAAACATTGTAAACATTGGGTGCGGACTTACAAAGTGAAAGTGTTGTCTTTTCCCCAGCGTTGTTTCTCTAATGTGTTGCGTTATTCCGTAACGATTGAATTCATTCGATCTTCTAAGGTACTTTTATGTTTAGATCAGTTTTACGCCTCGTTTACAAGTAGTTCGAGAACTACTCGCAATATTGTTGTATTTCATTTAGGTTCAATATGTTTACTGCTTCCTCACTTCCTGCAATCTGCATCAGACTCGCCTGTGCATGACACTTGACTAGTACATACAATGTAACCAAAAACCCAGAGGATAGGGGGAATCCCCCTATTCCTCTGGGTTTGCGTTACATTATTGTATCTAGGACACTGACCAGTCATAGATTACTTACGGCGCAAACTTTAGCCTTTAGGCACCTTAGCGTATCACGAAGTGATGCAACAGATTTCTGTGTAGGCATCCAACTGTGCACAGACTTCGGCTCTCGTATTTCAAGGAATGATGCAAAAAAACCCTACACCCTAACCCTAAGTGACTTAAGTCATAAAGTATAACCCTTGGCTTAGCCTTAGTATCACCGAAGTGGGTTCGGGTTAGGGTTAGGGACTAGGCGTTAGCGGTTAGCGGTTAGGGTTTTCTGCATCATTTGTTATAGAAATAGAGTCTGCTTGCATCAGTTAATGTATACACAGAAAATCTGTGCATCACCCTCGTAACCTAAGGTGCCTAAAGTGATTTGCACCGCATACTTACCCAAGACGCACTGACAGTATCGTGTGTGTCGTGTGCGGATTATCGGTATCAAATGCTTCAATGCACTCAATAATTATTATTCGATGTAATGTGTGCGTAGGTGTTAGTGCAGTAGAGCGAGCTCCATGCCAACAGATATAGTAACATACCGGCGTATTAAAGGAATAATATGTCCATTGATTATGCAGCAGCAATGCTTGACGAATGCTAGAGTAACTGGCACCTTGTGTAGTAAGTAAGGCGTTGCAAATCCAGCTTTTAGCGGAAACCTTAAGCCTGCGCGCACATTGCTAACAGTTTTCCCGAACAAATGTTCGTCCTGAACAAATGTTTTTGTTGGCAATGTGCAGGCTGAACAATTGCTGAAGCACATTGCGAACATTTTGCACACAACAACCTCGTGCCCCATCTAGTAGCATCGTGTTGTTAAAGAGTCACCGGTGATCAGTCGCCGTGATTTGTGCCCACAAAAGAATCATTGGACCACATATCGTGCTGCTATTGCCGTACTACTTTACAAATGTTCCTAGAATTGTTCGACATTCAGCGCCACATTGACGAACATTCGCACGAAACAAGTTCGAGATATCAAAAACATTCCGATCTCAAGAAACATTGTTCGGGATAACAAGTGTTCGGCGGCACTTTTTCACCGCCACATTGCTTGAACATTTCTTTGCGAACATTGCTACGATAATGTTTGAGCAAAATGTTCGCAATTGTGCGGGCTTTAGGTATTCACGAAGTGATGCAACCAGATTTCTGTGTATCATCAACTGAGCACAGATTTCCATAATCAAGGAATGATGCAAAAACCCTAACCGCTAAACCCTAACACACTTTGTTGATGACCTAAGGTTTTACTTTATGACTTAGGCGTTACGGGTAGGGTTTTGCATCATTCCTTGATATACAGGAAAGTCCGTGCATCAGTTTGATGAACACAGAAATCTGTGCATCACTTCGCTGATACCTAAGAGCCTAAAGTGGAAATTTGCCGCCGCATTATTGAAGTACATACCTTATAGCCAAACCGGTATTAATTTGTCCAATATCACTGCTTGCGTTACATTACAATGCCAGACTTGAAACTCAGTGTTGATATTCATTTTACGTGCCGTAAACGTACATCCAGGAGCGAGCGATAAGTCCCTGCCCCCCCCCCGATGACGTAAACATTGTGCGGCCCGTTATGTTTGGACGCCCAGATGAAATGGAGGCGTGTCAGCTGTGTAACCACGGCACGGACTAAACATGGGCAAAATGCGAGTAAAACACACGGTACTAATCACGAACGCACATGGACATGCCCTGACAAAAAAGGTTCCTTATTACGTGCGTCCATGTTTACGAAATCACTGATCATAGCATGCGTACGGCGACAGTGTTGTAGCGTCTCGAGGCGGTCTTGGCCCTCGAGACCGGCCGCCGAGACCGTTTTCCTTGGTCTCGGTCTTGGCGCCCGGAGTGCAATGCATTCGGCACTCGGACTCAGGCCCTCCGCTCGGGGAGCTCGAGGACTCAGCGTCGTGTCCGGCTCGAGGCCACTACATACATAGCTACACAAACTGTACATATTGCCTAAGCACGCAGTTTACAAGAATTTAAAACTAAAACATCTTAGTTTTCTAGATACACGGCCTAATCTTGCTAACGTTTTCAATGGCTCGAGTAAGATTCTTGTCCCTTTGATTGAATCTGCTGTCACTTCTTCCCTATGCGCTTTTTCTACCACTTCTTTCTCTTCTTCTATCACTTCGAAGGTAAGCTTACTAGGCACTCCTCCATTTGGTTCAACAAGCCGCCTCGCGTATATTCTCGATAAAACACAAATGGATCCGTTACTTTTACACGTTTTTGTATGACTCGTGTCTCGTGTGTTTTTGTGCTGACTATACACTTTCGAATGTCTACGCATGCACTGTTTGCCCAATTTTTTTCTCTTTTGTCCCTTTTTCGATTTTTTTCCGATTTTTCCGATTTTTCCCTTTTTCTGATTTTCTCCCTATTTTTTATCAAAACTGGACTCGGGGGGGTGCCGGACTCGGACTCGGGGGGGGGGGGCGGACTCGACAACACTGACGGCCGAGCATGCGTGCGAAAATGTCCGGTGCACTATAAATCTGTATCACACCCGCTTTGCCGGCTACGGTTTGAAACTGTACACAACTCAGTCAACTGATTTCTTGGACTGCGAATTTCAATTAGACATTTCTTAGTAACCAGCAGTGATATTGCACAAACTAATACGTGTTTGGCTATAAGTACTAAAACTACACAAGGTGCCAGTTACTCTAGCATTTGTCAACATTGCATAATCAATGGACATATTATTCCTTTAACTAATCTATAACTTTACTTACATAGTATTTCTGTATCACTGTCACCAAGGGCAGATCTCGCTTTCAGGAGATGGGGTGGTTGAAATTTGAGCGATGGCGTGCCGAAGGCACCCTATGCTAGGGTGGTCCGGGGGCATGGCCCTTCCCACCTGGAAAATTCAGGCGTCTGTGTGGTCACAGGGGAAATCCCCAGTTTCTATCAGCCTGCCGACTGACTTTTTTATTTTTGGCCCTATTTTACTAGTATCATAACATTAGTCAGTGGCTGAAGTGGGGGGGAGGGTGCAACCCCCCCTCCCAACCCCCCTCTAGATTCGCCACTGATCACCACTGTGGTGCAAGGCCTATAGTTGCACACACAAGTGGTGTAGTAAAGTGGTGAATGTGGGGTACCACTACGGGAATAAAATATACGTGGCAGATACGTAGTTAGTTAGTGTCCGTGTTTGATTTCTGTGTTCACATTATTGTTGTGGTTATTCATCACCTAAACACTACAATCGGGTTATCGCCTCTGTGTGCGTACGAAACTTCATAACGATTGTTCTTCACAGTCCAGGAGAAATTGCACAATTATTTTTACTCGGCAAAGAGAAAAATCATTAGTCAGTGTTGGCTCTTATAAAAAAAATACCTGCCCACTTTTAATTCCAGAGCCAGATAGTTTTATTAGTAGGCTCGTAAAGTATTATTTTGACTGGGCTATTGGTTTAAATTGTATGGTTACATACATGTGCATATTCATGAGAATTGTGGTTGCATGGTAGGGGTGTAACGATTCACCGATACATCCATTTGTATCCGAAAGCTCCATTTGGCATCGTCTTACACACAAACACACGCACTCATGCACACACACACTTCATTGGCTGCACAGCTACAAATCACAGGAATGCATCTTGCTACGATAGTTTGCATTGTCCTAGAGGAGTCATTTAAAATGCAAATGCCCATTACTGCTTTGCGTCAAACTGGTTTCAAACTTTCACCAGATGCCAGGCAGAAGAGGTCGTCCACTGTTTGGCATGAGTGCTAGTGGAGCAACAGAGCTACGGAAACCTGGTGTCAGTGGTGACCTGGATCATTCGTTGTCGGGAGGAGCAGGAGACGGTCGCCAAGTGCAACCAGGTAAGTAATCACAAAATATCACAAAATCACGATATATGAAATATTGAAATATCAATAGGTGAGTGATCACAATATCCAGGTGTTAAATCAAAATTGTATTTAGCATGGTATCATTCTAAGCATGGTTGATGTCATTGTTTTGACCATGACAGTCTGAACACAGCAGTGTGGCAATACATACTAGGCTACTTGCATTTAAACCCCTATAGCTAATTATAGGTGCTTGATTATAACTTTGTGTTGCATCGTTCTCGTATGGGATCTAAACCACGTTGTAGTATTACTGCTCTGGTTATGTAAATGGCATTACAGGTCCCCGCAGTGATTAGTAGGTGAGATAATATGCTATTGTCAAAGTGCCAGGAAATCAGCAATTTCCTTACCCGTGTATGTGTGTGTGTGCATGCGTGCGCGCGTGTGTGTGTGTGTGCGTGTATGTGTATGCTATTCTATCTAATATATTTATGAAATCCTATAATTGGTTG